TCATGCAGGTTTAGTTCCAGAGGGGAACCTAGTCTCTTAGGTTCGGACTCCAGTTTGTCTTCTGACACCACAGAAAACCCAGATCAATTTCTTAGTGACAGGCCAGTGCCTGTCTTTCATCGTTATTACCATGTCTTCCAGCAGGGGGAGCTGGAAGAGCTCTGCGTTCAGGTGACTGGAGTCCAAGTGCAGACCAGCTATCATGACCAGGGAAACTGGTGTGTAGTATTAACAAAGGAGTAACAGTTTGATAACAATTTAATGATGTGATTTTACTCATGCACAGTTTTTAAGGTGAAATAAATCTGAGAATCCAACTAAGTATTTGCTTGTGTGAAGAATTATCTTTTTTTCCCTACTATAATTAGAGCCAGAAGTTTTCAAAGAAAGCTTTTCTGTTTCCATGAGGTCATCACTTTTATTTCTCATCTATATTCCCAAGACTTTCCTTCTTTCTGGTTGATCCTGCTTTTTTTGTCCCAGTTAAAACCAACTAGTAGTGATGAGAGATAAGCTCAAATATCTCATAAAGCCTTGATCTTTGAAATGTCCAAATATAGTCAAGGACAGACTTTAAGTGAACATCCAGTGCTGCCTTCCCTCTGGGAGATTATTCTTCCCGTTCCTCTATTTAACCAGTTGACATTTCAGATCTGTTTTGAGACGACGTTGCAAAGGGAAGCGATGCATTTCTAATACACAAAAAGTATAACAGAGTATATAAAAAACATCTAGAAACACTTCCATACAGAGGACTTTGACTCAATAGAGTTGTCATCAAGGCTTCAGGTTAATCCAGAATCAAAAAACGTTTGCAGATTAAGTCCAGGTTTTTTTGAAACATCAGTTTCCAAAACCCTAAAAGCTTTTTTTTCCCTTCTTTTTTTCTTTAGGAACGACTATTAAAAAAATATTTATCAAAACGAGATTCTAATTTTTTAATACTGGCAAGTTTCCCCTACAGTATGTGGTTGGTGATTAGGCATCGGATGGTTTTCACTATTGAGGTTTTAAAAAGTCAAGGCACCTGTTGATACACACTGCAAGTCACCTGGCTGAGAAGACCTACAATTTCTTTGGTTTCAGAAACAAGAGTTCCAGCTGTTTGGAAATACTTTAAGTTGACGTAGAGAGTGCTAAAAACTGAAAATCTTTTTAAGTTAAAACTAAAATTGGAAGTAGCATTAAGTATAGGCTAGCTCCCTAAGCAGGAAGCCAGATTAACAGCTTTTCACAGTTATAATTTAATTCATTTAAAAGCAGAAACACAAAAAGTATTTTTTTTCCAATTAGCACTAAAAACTACACATACATTTTCTGGGTGTTTGTTTTTATTGGAAAAAAGTAATGTCACAGTGTACCATATGGCAACTTTTAATGTGTATGTAAATATTGTGATATGCAAAATCCAGTCCAAACCCTAATGCTTATTTTTATAAGTATTTTTTTATTGTGGTATTAGCAGGATATTTTTTTTTATTTAAAACCTGAATAATAAAATAAAATCGTTTTACTTTGTGCGCTTTTACAAATAATGTAATATATATATATATATAT